GAGAACCCGGCGTGCTCCGTCCCGGCTTTGTAGGGATGCGAGGTCAATGGTCTAACGACTACGGCATGCACGACTATGAGTACATCCCCCTTTTTTTTTCTCCGTTGTCCTTTTTTTTTTTTCGAAGTTGTATCATGATTTAATTTGACGAAACCGAAAGAAAGCCTCGTGCAACAAACAGATGCAACATTTTTGTTCGGGTTCACACATCCCGCCACGCAATCGATCCAGAATACCTTTGAAGGTTTCGAAGGCTTTTCTCTTTGGAAGGTGTACTCGAACGACGCATTTCATTAGCGCGTTGACAAGCTCAACTCTTGGCTCTGGTCTGTTTGACACCCCAAATATGGAACATTCGTACAACACATGGAACATGCACACAACAATGTGGAACTTTGACAAGCTTAACTCTTGGCTCTGGTCTGTTGGACACCCACAACATGGGGCATCCATGCAAACTACAGAACCCATACAATAACATGGAACATCCATGCATAAGGTGTTTCGTACCACTATTTAACACGCTGCTGTTCTTGACGAATGAAATGCTTTGGTTGCAGGACGATCCCTGGGGGATGGTGAGGACCCGCGCTCTAGAGGCTGGTCGGTTACTGGCGGCGGTGCTGCTGTCGAGGCCGGTGGGGTCAAGGCCTGTCACCCTCCTGGGATACTCGATGGGGGCTAAGGTAAGTAAGGGGCTTCTTGCTGTATCATGTGTTAAACCCACTTATGGGGCGTGAGGAGTAGGGATCGGAAACAGCTCCGGCCAGCCACAAACATCACAACGAGGCCCCGCCCTTCCATTCTCCTCGCCCCCCACCCCCTAGTTGGTTTTCAACTGCTTGGAGGCTCTAGCTGCTGCGCCGAATGGCCGCGGGCTTGGCATCGTGGAGAACGCCGTCATGCTGGGAACGCCCATCGGCACGAAGCGCGGGAGGTAAGTCCGGATCTGCTGCTGCTGCTGCTGCTGCTGCTGCTGCTGCTGCTGCTGTTGTTGTTCTTCTTAGAAGGCGGTCGTGGGTGGCGACTGTTTGTTCTGCCTGATCGTTTCGCGAACCGTCTGTCTCCCGACAACAATAGAAACGCCTCCGCTGACGGGGAGAGGAGAGACACGATTCCGACTCAATGCAGAGCGCCATGACGCTGGTACGCCCTCCCTTGTCTCGGTCCTGTGACGGCCGTCCCCATCGTTGTTGTCTTAGTTAGTGTCTCACATGTCGTACAGTATGATATCTGAGAAAAGTTTTCCTCTTTTGCACAAAGCTGTTGTTTTTTTGCTCGTTTGTCATCCTTGGCGAGAACATGGAGTGAAAAATATTAAAAAATGAGATGCCGGTCCCGTGGCCTTCTTCCATCCCGTGCAAGGCATTCCATCAAGTATATTTACAACAATACCGTGTCGCCCTTATCGAGAATATGGGTGCTTTCCGGAGCGGTCTAATCAAAGATGTGTAAGGGTCTTTAACAGCCGACAGCCAGCTCTGACGTTGTCCGAGCTCAAACAGCACGCAGCTGTTGTGCTTCTGGTGAGCTCCAACAGCCCGCACTTCTCTGGTGTGACGTTGTCAGAGCTCGAACAGCCCAGACTTTTGGTGTGTTTAGAATCGAAGAGCTCAGCGAACCGCGTCGAATAAAAAAAAAAGTTTCAATAATCTCTGTAGTCCTCCGTGTATGTTGCAGTCACACGCTTTTTTCAGTCATGTGCTTCGGTACCTTCGTAAGCCTGATCGATCGTCTAATGGGCTGGATGCTATGTGGGACGAAGAAAACAACACAAACGGAGCAATGCGAGCGCGCAGCAGCCGCGGTCGGTCGCCGAGAGGTCGATTAAGCATGCACAGCTCACGAAGACACAACACGACAACCAAACATACTTTGCAAAGGGTATTTGGCGTGCGTATTGACTAAGAACTGATCCCGTACACACCAATATTGCACAAGCCTGTGCATATTTGGCGTGTTTATTGACCCAAACCGCTCCCGTACACAACAAAACAAAACATTTTCATGGATTACTGTTTGCTGACTAAAAGTGCTCCTAGAGAAACAAGAAAATACAAACCAAGATATGCAAATTTCATCGCTATCATGCCTGCTTTTTTAATACAAATGTTTCTTGCCCCCCCCTCGGCGACTCATCATCGCAGGTGGAAGCGGGTGCGCAGCGCCGTAGCCGGGCGGCTGATCAACGGCTACAGCTCCAGGGACTGGCTCCTGGCACTCGTGTACCGTAGCAAGTCGTGGAGCGTTGGCGTCGCGGGAACGTCCAGAGTGGAGGGGTGCGGCGTCGAAAACGTGGATCTGAGGTGGGATTCGTTTTTTTTTTTTGTCGTGCGTTTCGCTTTTTCGTGTCATGTGTTTCGTGTGTGTGCTTCAGCACTGGCTTCCACCGCGCATGAATGCATGGCACGAAAAATACCTCGCGGTACCAACACCAGTCTCCAACGAGACAAGAGTATCCAGCGCTTCCAACAAGGTGTCGGTCGTCGTCTGCCACCTGTCCCGTTCTCTTCAGCCGGGCCGGCTTGGTGTCGTTTTTGCGCAATGTCTTGTCTGTTGCTGTTGCTGTTGCCTTTGTCTTCGTCGTCAAATTGTGTCTTGTCTTTTTGTTGTTGTTGTTGTTGTTGTTGTTGCTGCTGCTGCTGCTGCTGCTGCTGCTGCTGCTGCTGCTTTTGTGGTCTTCGTTATTTTCAGCCCGTTTCGACCTCTTCTGCGTACGTCCTCCGCACCCTGTGCCGATCCATCCATCCTGACCACCAGGCAACAACACACCGTCACGCCCCCCCCTCCCTCCCTCCCTCCCCCCCTCTCCTCCCCCTC